CCTACCCCTTAAATAATAAGGCACCTCATGCTCTCTTTCGCAGAATATCTCTTTGGAAACAAATTAAACTAGTGTATCTGAGGGTGATTTTATTATCCAGACATAATCTAGGAAATGAAAGCTCAGATAAGTTAGGTAACCAAGCGGGTGAGGGGCAGACCCCAATCCGATGACCCAGTTCCTCTCTGTTCAGTTACTCTGCTGTGTCTCCTAGGAAGGTAGCTTTGCGGTTGCTGCAATTCCCATGCAGATAAAACCTTTCTACAATACACATAGTTTGTATATATATATACTCTCTACTAAAAGAAAGTTTTAATTCAACTTGAAATAATAAATGGTTAATATAAGGAAAGTGAGATAAGCAAAAATATCAATAATTTTAGGCTTGTATTAAAAGTGACCTTCATTTTGGAGTAATGATGGTTCCTTGTTTCTTTCTTTCCTTCTTTCTCTTTTTATTGAGGTGTAGTTGGCTTACGGTGTTGTGTTAGTCTCTGGTGGACAGCATAGTGATTCAGTTATATACGTACGTATGTTATTTTTCACTTTCTGTTTCATTACAGGTTATTACAAGATGCTGAACATAGTTCCCTGTGCTCTACAGTGAGTCCTGCTGTTCATCTGTTTTGTATATAGTAGTGTGTATCTGCTAATCCCGAACTCCTAATTTATCCCTCCCCTTTTCCCCCTTGGTAACCATAAGTTTGTTTTCTATGTCTGTGAGTCTCTTTCTGTTTTGTAAATAAGTTCATTTGTAACCTTTTCTATTAGGTTAGACTTTGTAAATATTTGAGACAGTATATAATTTTTAAACCAACAACACATAAACATGTCTGTAAATACTTTCAAAAACAAAGATAGCTAGTCTGTCAATTACCAAATCTTTCCAGAAAATACAACTTTCTTTTAAAATGATAAGGGCTTCATAACTGTTAGCTGGACTGATTTGCCCGTGGAAAGCATTTTTAAATGACTTACCGTGTATTTTGCAACATATATACAATATGGGTTTCGTATGTATAAATCCAGTTAATATGTGTATTAAAAACCAATCATTTTTTTCCTCATTACTAGTAACTTTGCCAAATAGTACAAAGGTTGGGCTGGAAATGGATCGCATCTCCAAAAACAATTCATAAAGACACTTTACAAAGCAAGCAGCGTAGAATGATTTCCACAGCTCAGTGGGGGAGGAAACCCAGAACCACTTCGGGCCCTTTGCCGTCGGCAGGAGTGAAGGCTGTCGGTAATGACGAAGCTGTTGGACAACAAAATCATAGGCCTCTCTGGGATGTCAGTGTTCCAGTCGTAAAATCTGGCTAATCTGAGCCAGGCTTTGGCACGACCGGCCCCGAGTTCCTGGCCTTCTCAGTGGAGAGCGGCGTCCAAGTATCCCGCTTGGCTCTGGCTGCACCGAGCCAGTTTCTGACTCTGATGCTCGCACTCTTCCTTTCGAAGTGGCCAGAAGTCCCGATCACAGTTGTAATCACCCAGAGCAAGCATCTCTGGAACAGGCATTTTACCTGTGTAACTGGTAAGGTGGAAGTGCCCGTGCTGAAACATTTCACGAGATTTCATATCTGAAAGAGAGGAAGAAATCCTCTAAGAAAATGGTAATGGGCCTGAGAAAGGGGTCGAGGCCCCCAGTACCAGCGAAGCTGGCACCTCATGTGTCACGAGCTTCTTTCAAGGCAAGAGAAGGGTGGATGGCAATGGCTCCCCCCACCTTTTTTTTTCTTTAATTGTAGTACAGTCAGTTTGCAATGTTGGGTCAGTTTCTGGTGTCCAGCACAATGTTTCAGTCACACATACACATACATACATTCCTTTTTGTATTCTTTTTCATTCTAAGTTACTGCAAGATATTGAGCATAATTCCCTGTGCTACACAACAGGACCTTGCTGTTTATCTATTTTATATTTAATAGTGTCTACAAATCTCAAACTCCCAGTTTGTCCCTTCCCACACCATCCCCCCCACACCATCCCCCCCAATAACCAAAAGTTTGTTTTCTGTGTCTGTGAGCGTGTTTCTGTTTTATAAATACGTTCATTTGTGTCTTTCTTTTTTTTTAGATTCCACATATAAGTGATACCACATGGTGCCTGTCCTTCTCTCACTGGCTTATGTCACTCAGAATGACAGTCTCCAGGTCCTCCATGTTGCACAAATGGCTGTTTTTCTAAGGCACCATTTCTCACTTTCTCTATTCTGAAGAGATTCACTTTCATGAATAGAAAGTAAAGCCGATGAAACGATAAGCACTCATGACTGTCGGCTGCCCCTGGAACGTCCAGATGAACTGGAACTCAGGGTGAAAGCCGTGTGGTGGGGAAGCCTCCTGCCCTGCGGGTTGTCAGGATCGGAGCCCGCAAGCTCCACGGAGGTCAGGGCGTCGGGCAGAGGCGGGGACTGCAGACTGCCGTGGAGACGCTCTATTTCACACGCTTGCCCTCTGGAAGGACTGGCAGAGGCAGTCACTTAAATTAAACACAGGTCATCAGACAAGATACACAGTCTATTCCTGGAACAGACAACTTGAGCATGCCAGGTCCCCATGGCCTTTTACCGAGCCTCGTCACGCTCCCCTTTACGTCCCTCTGTCAGTTCACGTTAGGGCTGGCTGTGTTTAAAAGTGGTATTGCATGTATTCTGCGACCCTCTGGCTCGGAGCAAAGAAATTGCTTTGGTTTATTTATGACCTACTAACCTTAACAAAACTGAAAAACTCAATGTTCTCACAAGCCTAGGGAAGAGAGAGAAAAGCTAAAATAAATCTGGCCTTGATACAAGCTGGTCCGATGCTGCCCACACCCTTCTCCAAAATCCCAGGGAAGTGGATGGGAAGATCTCTGACCCTTAACTGTCTTACTTCTTGTGACTCTTTTCATTCAAGGAAAACTAGGCATGGATTCAGATGGCTGCCACCTACTTTGAATTCTGGAATTATAACAGTGTGTTCTAAAAAGAAAGACACTACACACCACGGAAAATGTAAAGGCTCAGCGCTATCGAATCCCGTTGTTCCCAGCAGGACTATTTTATAGTCAAGTGTGTCATGAAAATAGAGATGTGGAAGGCGTAGACTAGAAGGGGCAAAGTAGTGATTGAAAGCCACGCTCGAATTAGTGAAATACTGTCGAACCAGCAGGTGGGGTAAAGTGTGAACCAGAAGTTACCGCAATATAGGGCCCTTACGTCCGTTCTCTTTTCTGACACTAGGGTACCTGCGAGCGAGAGCAAGAGCCCGACCTCCAGCTGTGGGCCGTTCACACTGCGCAGGGATGAGGTAGGCTCTGTAACAGACTCTAGCTTTGTGAACCACGTGTGCAGCTTGGTCCAAGGAAAGGAAAACAATGAACGACAGAATTTGCTGAACTTACTTACTCCTGCTGTTCCCTGTGCACATGACAAGGCATTTAATGGAATTTCTTACTGTTACGGGTGAATCATTTTTACGTAAGAATTTTAAGTTTTGGTTATATTCTGCTAAGGACTTCTAGAAAAATATTTTGGAAAACAAAGAAAAGCAAGGTTCTGCGTTGCAAATAGTCCCAGCTGCCCTAGGATTTTGCTGTCAGTAGACCGATGCATATTTCGTGTTAATGCAAAATGCTCAGTTTAGCGGCTCCTTTCATAGGGTCCCTGTTATACAGATGTCAGCAGCTATGCCAAGAGGTGAGTGCGCATGACTGAAAACGGTTGTATATTGACTCGACACTAATGTCACAGTCGACAGGCAACAGAACAGGAGTGACACACCTTCAGTCGTAACGGACCCTGCAAACCATTGAGTCCCCTATGCTGTGCTAATATTTTATCCAGCAGCAGCATGGCAATGCCTACTGATAAGGCAGATTCTCCTACGGGGTTCTACTCTGTAAGAAATACTTGCTTATTTCAAAAGGATTAAACTGCCAGTCCAGATTCATCATCGTCTTGTGTCCTGAGACTACTGGTCACCTCAGTATGTCCTCCCAATAAATGACTAATCTCTCTTCCCCTAATAAAACCGTCAGTCCCCACGCAGATAGTTCATCTGGCAGGTATTAAACAGTTACGGACTTTAAACTATTTTAGCTGACTGGACTATGGCATTGTGTAAAAATTTCGAGTACCCACTTCCCTTACGTTTCACGAATCATCTCTTATTTGACAAGCCCGTAGTCATCCCCGAGGTGGTGCTCTGAACTGTTGTCAGCTGTCTCACCACAAGGAAGTACGGCCACGCTGGATACCAGGGAATTGTATGAAATAGTGGCTTTCAGGTCTTGTTTTGATATCTGCCAAATGACTTTCTTTTTAATTGATGATAGAAAATTATGGAGAGTGGTCTTAACAGTGTATTCACTAGAGTTCACGATAATTTAGAACAGCATAGATCACAGAGCACTCTTGGGGAAAGAGGATATGAAAAGAACCAAAAAGGAAAAAAAAAACTGCTGGGATTTTCATGTCCAACACATGGAAAAATGAACGGTTGTGTAGCGTCCTAGAGTGCACCTGTCACAGTGCTGATGGAATCTCTGTGTCGGCAACTATGAAAGAATGTATTGAGCTGTTTCTTCATTTCTTATTTGCTCAGTAGTTTCTAAATTGTACTAATTTTGTATCTTTATTTTAGAAAAAATATTAAATATGAAAGGAGAACACTAACATTAATATAATTTTAGCAAATGTAAGAAGATTTTGTTGAATTTGTGTCATCTGAATACACCATGTTTACCTACTACAAGCATAATCATACTTAAATGATCAGATGTGTTCTGATGTGATACCTCCAGCTACTTTGAATAGCAAACCCTCCAGGTTATTAACCGTGAGATAATTTCACCTCTGGAACGAAGCCAAGATAAGCATTTTTTTAGCTCAGTGAAACAGACCCTTTCCTCCCGCACAGCGAGACGCGGAGGCTTGCCAGCCCCTCAGCTGGAAGAACCCCACTTTTTCTTTCTTACTCTTTCGAAATGGCTTAAAACGCAGGAACCGCACGACTGCAGCCACCCTGTTGTTTCTGTCTGCGCCCCCCGCCCCTCCAGAGCCTCACAGACCCTGCGAAGTCGGCAGAACGCTGAGCTTAGAGGTTGCTTCAGTGAACATTCAACGCTGTCGGTGAGTTTGGAATTTAAAATCAAAACCATCGACCGTTGATTGTACCCTATGGCCAACCACCACCGCCACCGTGGCTTCCGGACTTTGCTGAAGACAGGAGACCAGAGCGGGGCGCCCGGGACGCTCTCCTCCCTGGGCGGAGACTACTTTTTAAAAGGTCACAATCAACATTCATTGCTGTCGGTGGGTTAACTGTGTGGACAAGCTCACTGAACAATGAATGCAACTGTGGCCCCGCATTTTGCAATCGCCGTCAAGAGACGTTCCCTCCCTGCAGGATCTCTTGACGGTGGTAATGCTGTGGTTTCCTCCGAAGTCTCCGGTCTGCAGAGTCTTCACGTCTGTTCACTCAGTGTGTTTCGTATGTTCAGATTTCGACGGAAAAGGTACTCATTTAAACAAGAGTAATACCTTTTCTACACTTCCGTGTGTTATAAATAGTGCATGTTTTTAAAGAGGTAAACTATTTCCCTCATGGAATCTATAACATAACAGGCTAAGTCTGAGCATCTTCCTGCAGGAGTGAAAAAAAGGCATGGAGGAGTCCAGTGTCCACGCCGTTGGCACCCAGGCCTTAAAACTGCAGCAACACTGCACCTTCTGTTAGAGTCCCTGGTCAGAGCGGTACATAAGCACTGGCTACTTTTATCTTTGTGCTGCTCTGGGTGGGGACTGACTCAAACGATACTTCCTCTTGCCATGGAATTTGCTAAGGAGGGAAGAAAATATGTATAAGTAACTATGTAACTCTCAGAACACTGACGAGAGTCATACAGCAGTGGATTTCCATAATTAAATCCAAATTGAAGGTAACAGTTTACCCACCTTCTTTGTGTTCTGCCTTCCGAAAGCCTTCCCCACATCATCAGACTTAGGGCCACAGCCTGTGAGTTGCCTCACGTCACATCATGGCTGGGGTTCCTTAGCTAGTTTGGCTCTACGTCTTGACATAGTACAATTGTCTTTGAATTTGATCGCAGCAGTTTTAAGTTTATCATTTGTAATGATAATAATAATTTTTAAATTATTTTATTAGTAATTATATTACCAATGGAGTGTCTATGGTTAGCATTTCTGGAAGGCATCCGTGTTTATTTTTTGAAAATCTGTTAAATACATTATTCTTCCATTTCTTGCCCTTTTCAAGTCCATTTACCTTTGATTCCCATCACAGGAGCCCATTCCTGAGGTCCTTCCCCAGATCTCGTTATTTCCATAAAGAGTCCACCATATCCAGTATCTAAGTTGTGGCACCCACTCTCTGATTGCTGTTTCCTGCTAGTCTAGGCTCACACTCTCTTATCCCCAGAGCAGCCGTCCTTCCTGCTGCAGTGTTGCTGGAAAAAAAAAGATGAAATCACACAATCTTAGGATTTTTTTGTGTGTATTCATCGGTTTCCAAATCCTTTGGTCCCTCAACTTTAAAACAAATTAAAAAAATTTTTTTTTAATTGAAGTACAGTCAGTTACAATGTGTTAATTTCTGGTGTACAGCACAATGTCCCAGTCATATATATTCATTTTCATATTCTTTTCCATTAAAGGTTGTTACAAGATATTGAATATAGTTCCCTGTGCTCTACAGAGGAAAAACTTTTTATCTATTTTTATGTATGGTGGCTAACATTTGCAAATCTCAAATTTCCAAATTTATTCCCTCCCACCCCCTTTCGCTGGTAACTATAAGATTACTATGTCTGCAAGCCTGTTTCTCTTTTGCAGATGAGTTCATTGGTGTCCTCTTTTTTCTTTTTTTAGATTCCTCATATGAGTGATATCATATGGTATTTTTCTTTTTCTTTCTAGCTTACTTCACTTAGAATGAAGATTCCCCGGGTCCATCCATGTTGCTGCAAATGGTATTATTTTATTCTTTTTTATGGCTGAGTAGTATTCCATTGTATAAATATACCACAGCTTCTTTATCCAGTCATCTGTTGGTGAACACTTAGGTTGCTTCCATGTCTTGCTGCTGTAAATAGTGCTGCTGTGAACATTAGGGTGCATGTATCTTTTCGAATCAGAGTTCCCTCTGGATATCATGTTGTCCCATGCCCCTCCCCAGGAGTTAGCTGACACCTCCTCCTTTTTCCTCAGCTGCTCCTCTCCACCATCGTGGTTGCCGCAGATGAACTGACCTCTGGTTTTCGAGGAGAAGCTTCAGTTCATCTGATTTCTCTTCCTCTTCTTCATTCAGAGTCCACAGACGTACGGGCTTCTGCCCGAGGGTTAGCCAACAGCCTCCTGCCTGGCTCAAGACAGGTCTTCCTCCATGAAAACCCTCTCCTCCTCCACCATATTGGCTCTTCCCATTTAACATGTGACCAAGTTCAGTTTTCTCCCCTTTCAAACGGAAAACAAAAAAATTTAAGAATATAGTTCCCTGTGCTTTACAGAAGAAAAATTTTTATCTATTTTTATGTATGGTGGCTAACATTTGCAATTTAAGAAAAATATCTGTCCTTGCTTCCTCCTCTAAATGGTCATCCCACTTCTTCCCTGCTGTTTCAGAACGGGGCTTTGGAAGTAGCACGTGGAGCTGCAGCAGGCCTGTGGTTGACGACTTGGCATTTTCACCTCAGCTGGCTGCAATCTGGCTGCTTCTAGCGTTCCTCTCCTTCACACGCACGTAACATTGTTCTCCTGAACCTGCTCTGGGCCAGCTCACCGGCGAGCTCTGCGGTGACACGGGCAAGCTGCGCCGTCCTGCCAGCTGTCCTGCCGGAGTGCCCCTGCACGTCACTGACTGCTGGCACCCATGCCTGTTACAAACTCCAGTCTCCGCTGACTTTGTGAGCCTAGTCGCATGTGAACTTCTTTCCGTCTTTATAACGGTGACGTCCTGTTTTTCAGAGCCCCATCTTATCCTGCCTAACCTAGTACGCCTGGTTTCTTTGTGAGACACGTCGTGATTGGTTTTCAGGGTTTTTTTCTTCCCACGCTTTACAGTCTTTGAAGGGATCTCAGGCACTGGATGATGCTGGCCTCTGCTTAGAGGCTGCTGATTGTCAAGTCTCTCTCTCCAATCAAGACGGCCCGAATCCGCGTCCCTAACTGCCGCCTGCTCTCCCCGCAGACCCTTGCCCGTGCTGAAATCATCTCACGCTCCTGCTCTTGCCTTCCTGCACATGTAATCACAAAGCCCTTGAAGATGCTTACGTCTCGCTAGCCCACTGAGATTGCAGTGTGTGTGTGTGTGTGTGTGTGTATTTCTACTACCTAATTCAGAAACTTATAATTCTTACTTGGACTTCTCCAGTAGTCACCTAATTAACTTTCTGTCTACCATCAGCCATTTGTTCAATATATTTTCTCCACAGTATTTAAAAAATAACAACTTAAAAACTTAATCATGTTGTGGAACTCTTTAATGCACTCTGAGTAAAATCTCCTAATATGTTTAATAGATCAATTGTCCTGGTGGGAAATTTGAGTATTAGCTAAATGCAGGAAAATGAAATTTTACCTGGAACTTCACAGAATCCCTGGAGTTTTATTTCAGTATATTAAGGAGCTAATTGCAACTTTAAAATTTTTTCTAAAGTGAGTGTCGTGGAAGATTTACTCATCCTGAAATGGTGAAGAACTTTTTAAGTATTAACATGATCAAAGAAGAAAGAAAAAAGAAAACAAAATCATGGGAAGACTTGACCACTTAAACTTCAGTCTGTAGCATGTCAAAAACATACAGTGAAAGGGCAGCCGGCCAAATGGAAAATAATATGAGAAATAAAGAAGACAAGTGATTAATATGCTTAGTCGATACAATTTTTAGAGATATATTCTTAATACAGAAAAAGCAATAAGGAAAAATTAACACCTCAAGAGATAAATGAACAGTGAATCTGAACAGAGAAGTCACAAAAGAAATGCAAATAAATCAGGTAAATTTTACATAAATGATGTAAAATTCTGCTTCACTGAAGAAATTCAAATTTAAAACAGTGAGATGTGCTTTATCTTTAGTAAAGCTAGCTGAGGAAGAAAAGGTCACAGAAGCCAGAAAAGCCGAAATGAATTTCCTGACACCGTGTAATGTAGGGTGATCTTTGGTTTTCTGCTTTCACTCCTTCTCAGCTTGGTCTTCCTGCCTCTTCTGAACTCGTGGCCTCCCCGCGACGGCGACTGGACCAGGGGCCCGAGGGAGACTCTCCCGTGGGCTCGGCGGGGGCTTTTGTACTTGCCCCTCAGGAGTTTGAGCTAGATGGTCAGGAGGCAGTCGGTGTGTGCAAGACCTGCGGCATCTCGAAGGTGTTGGCAGATTCACACTTTGCTTTTTCCACACGTGGGGCCGGTGAGTCGGAAGCAGGCGGTGCTTCGGGGAGAGCAGCAGCGGGAGGCGCCGTGCGGCTCCTGCTCCCTGCAAGACGGAGGGGACGGCTTGCCTCCGTGACACTCCGGGTCCAGCATTCGTTTTCTCAGCTGTCTTTGCTGGTTTTTGATGGCTTTTAGATACAAGGTGACTGAAGCCTAGAAATTAACCCCAGTTTATTTGTCAGCTGAGACTGGTACCCATTCTTCATCTCAGAACCATACAACGTTCATGAGACTGTGAACTGATGTCAGCTTTGTGGAAGCAGCTTGGCACTATCTAGCGGGACTTTTAAATGCTTGGATACTTTGAATCAATGGTTCTCACTCTGGGATTCTCTGCAGCGTATGTACGTGTGAGGATAGTTAAAGCAACGTTACTTTAAAAAATTTAATGGTGGAAGCAAGCTGCAGGCCCAGCAATGGGGAATGGGGCCATGAGCTGTGTCAGGAATGTGACAGAAAATAGTAATAACCCAAGAATGTTTTAATAATGGAGAGCCTGCTTGTAATGAAGTAAAACTCAGACAGAGGATTAAACCTCAGCCTCCTAGAGGAGCAGCTATGGCGAAATTCATTAACCTCCCTAAGCCTACATTTTCCTAACGACATAATTGGTATAGTATTTCTTGTCTGATAACACTTTCTGAGGATGAATGAAGTCATTTATGCAATGACGTTAGCTCAGTGCCTGACACTTAATAAATGTTTAGTAGTAGCAGCAGTAAACGCTGTCCCATGCCTGATAAGACCCGCTATGTAGAAGTCATTCTTTTCATTTCACTCTCGGTCCTGGAATTTTGGTCATTTTTCTTCTCCTATGCATTATGCATTCTATCTTTTTTCCTTTTTCCCTCTTTTTTTTTTTTTTTTGCTTTGTTTGTCTTTGATTTGTTTCAAGCTGACAACATGTGCCTCTTTACTATCCTAAGAGAATCTAGGTACTGGTTCAAAAAAAATGACACCATAAATTATACTTAACTTTTGGCCAATTGTAAAAAGAAATAAAGTTAAATAGAATTATCACTTTCCTTGTTGAAGTCACACAGTGACCTAGCTATACTGTCTCTCCATCCTTACAGGAGCCATTTGAGGAGGGAAATATCATTTTGGAGAGTTTTGAAGTTGGGGACAAGACGATCAGGATTAAGTCACGTGCCTTCTGTCATAACTGGCAGAGGGGTGGTTCTAAACTCTACTATCTAATTTATATTCAAATTTTGAGAATCTAGCCATTAATTAATAACTATTTCTGAGGAAAGAAAGAACAGGATATCCCTTTCAAAATAATAGTTCAGCCCAAACTAAGTTTCACTGGAATTTAAGTGAAATATAAAGTCATAGTCTGAGAATAAGACTCCATATTTGGAAGGATGACACTGTAATTTAAGTGATTTGAGACCTGCTTTTTCTTGTTCAATAGAGAAAGTTACTTGTTTTGGTTGCTGCTCCAATCTGGGCCCAAGAGCAATATGAAACAATGATCAGAGTTCAACGAATATCAGTTGAATGAATGAGTCATAAACGTATCTACTCAGCAAGCAATGCCTTTAATGACTGACTCATGGTAATACAATGCTGCACGCCAGATGCTATGAGTCAAAGTTGAGTCTTAGTTAAAATGTAGTTTTGAAAAAAAAAACTACCTATACAACAGTGGCATTTATTTCAAACCTCAAGCCTGGATTCCTAACATTCACTTATGTATTTACCGTACATGAATTTAACCACGATGTTTCTTCCAATCTAATAGACCAATAATGGCAAGACAAACCTTCATTGTATAAAGTAGTAAGAGAAAAAAGAGAGAAAGAAAGAAAGGGAAAGAAAGAAAGGAATAAAGAACACTGACCATTACAATTTTAAAATGCCATCAATTATAAAACACACCTCAGTTTCAGAGATGTAAAAATATAAAGCAGATGCATCTCAGGATCAGTGAAATACAGTGTTTATTTGCAGAAATCCACCATTAAGTGGCTGCATTTCTTCTATTAAACGATGGACATAATTAAAGCTGAAAAGTTAATGCAAGCAAGAAAAGAAATGATGGAAAGATTTTGGGAAATGATTTTAAGTTTTTTTCCCACCAGGGACCACAAATGAAATGCTTGGTTTGAACTTTACAAGGATTTTCAAGGGTCATTTTAGCTACACATGATTTTTATCCCAGAGGCTGACTTTGAAATCTAACTTTCCCCTTGACCTTAAGGTATGACCAACCCCTAGGTATAAATAGAGTTTTCTTAATTTCTAAGATTATACATTTTAGCTAGTAAGAAGAGCTAGCGTTGATCTAGCAGCCAAACTTGTATTTCTACAAATCCTTTCTTTTACTTTCCAAGGGGCCATCACGATTCAGTGTAACTTTAACAGGTCTTAACCACATTTTCCAAGTCACCTCCCCCCATCCCTCTTCAGACAAATTCACTCATTCTTCCTACTCCCTCTGAGGAAACCTTCAGAGCCCTGTAAGTCACCCCTCCTCGTGCAAATTTTTCTGGAAAATCAACACCGAGTAATAATAATAAAAGATTCCACTATTTTTACTGCCTGAGTCTCTCTAAGCCCTGGACAGACAGCTTGGACCCAGGCACAGAAAGCCTTAGCGAGTGGCGCCAAGTCACACAAAGCCATTCTTAAGATGCCTGTTCTGTGCTATCAACCCTCCTACCTTAGGCAACCCCCTCCTGCTGGTTAAGTGCTAACACATGCTTTACAACCGCAGGAGGGGGTACAGTTTACAGATTAAAATTAGATGCAGAATTAAATTGCTTGAACACAGCAAAAAAAGAAAGGGGGTGGAGGGAGGGGTGGAGAAGACAATTTGACCATGTCAATACTCACACTCACTTACTTCCAAGGCTTGGATTTCCATACATTTCCAGTAGAATTCTTGGGTTCAGGGTCTACTTTCATTACTGAGAGTCCCTTTCCGAGGAATAACACGGAGATTCTGTCAAAGGGTCTGCAGCCCCATGAAAATGCACGTTCACAATGTGGAATTTACAGCCAGGCAAGATCGCTGAGTCAAATACCAGAGCTCCCGTAAGAGAGCCAAGTAGAGTAATTTAATGACTCCTAATGACATGTGTAACTTTTCAGGCCACTATAATAAGAGTAATCAGATCTCAGGCTTCAGGGTGTAACCTGATCACCTGTGCTTTTCAGAAAAGAATTTCTGTACACAGGGACAGCACTGCACAGCTGGCCAGGCTCGTTACTGGTCACGTCAAGAGGAAGGGAAGGAGAGATCAACTTCTCCAAATCATTAAATGCCTTTTGCAACTGGGAAACACAAACTAACACAGCAGTTATGATAGAAGAGTCTTATGAAATAGAAAACGACAGTTGTTGCCTGGAAATTAAGACCTAAACTCGTGGAAAAGGAAATTAGTAAGTTCACAATCTGTAGTTTCTTGGTTTAGAATACAAGGTTACAAAACGAAAAGTTATTCACTCTCCCATCAAAGACATGTGTGGGGAGCCTTTGCACTATTTACTGATATTTTCTTGAGTCCTGGGTGAGACCGTGGTAAGTACACTTACTTCCTCCTGGGAACCTGACGTCAAGTGGTGGAAAGACATTCATCACATAGTCTGCTAATTAGAGGACTCTAAAGTGAGCGGATAGAGGATGAAAGACAGACCACCAGGACTTCAAAAAAGAGGAAAATGAGCAAGGCCAAGGCTTACTAACTTGCAAAAGAAGGGAACACAAACCAGTGAAGAAACTCATTAGGTCATTCAAAGACAGGGGAAAGTTACAGGTTTTGAAGTGCTAGGCAGGGTTATTCCTGGTCATGTGACAAGTCAGGTTTGAGAACTAACTTTCTGGATAAAAACGATGAAGGTGACAAGTCAGGTTTGAGAACTAACTTTCTGGATAAAAACGATGAAGGAATTCAAGTCTATCCAACAAACTTCATAGTTTATTGACCAGCGAAGTCTTCAGCTGGGTCCAGTAAGGGTTTGGTATGCCAAGGTCATTCAGAGTTCATGGCTTTCTACAAGTTTCAGCTGGTTAGAACTAGTTGTGATGAAATTTAGTTTTCATGTCATCCAGGCGGGTTCTACTCTAGTGGAAAATTTTTCATTTGCAGACGTAGAGGATAACTGGTAAAGGAGTAGAGGATATGGGGTCAGGAAAAGGAGACAGAGCACCCTGGGCACAGAGGATAACACGTGTGGACACCAATGGTGGGATAGGAAAGACAATTCAAGGAAAGGATAGAGACCAGCCTGGTACGGATGAAAATAAGCCTGTGAGGAACTGCTGTCACTTGAGGTTGAGAAGGTAGCCTATGGCAAGGCTATGTAGGAATATATAAGCCATGTTTGTTAACTATTAGAGAAATGCAGATCAAAACTACCATGAGGTGTCACCTCACACCAGTCAAAATGACCATCATTAAAAAGTCTACAAATAACACATGCTGGAGAGGCTGTGGAGAAAAGAGAGCCCTCCTACACAGTTGGTAGGACTGTTAACTGGTGCAGCCACTATGGAGAACAGTATGGAGGTTCCTTAAAAAAACTAAAAATAGAGTTACCATAGGATCTGGCAATCCCACTCTTGGGCCTTTATCTGGAGAAAACTCTAACTCAAACAGATACATGCACCCCAGTGTTCATAGCAGCACTATTTACAACAGCCAAGACATGGAAGCAACCTGTGTCCATCAGCAAATGATTGGATAAAGAAGATGTAGTGTGTACATATATATATGTATACACACACACAAACATAATGGAATATATATAATGTATATATGTAATATATATATGGCAATATTAACCATAAAAAAGATGAAATAATGCCATTTGCAGCTACATGGATGAACCTAGAGATTATCATATTAAGTGAAATAAGTCAACAGAGGAAGACAAATATCATATGATATCACATATATGTGAAATCTAAAAAAGAGTGACACAAATGAAACGGAAATAGGCTGACAGACAAAGAAGATGGACTACGGTTCCCAAAGGGAAAAGGTGTCGGGGGAGGGACAAATTAGGAGTCTGCGATTGGTAGGTACACACTCCTAGATATAAAGTCAATAAGCAACAAGGACCTACTGTAGCGCACAGGGAACTATATTCAACATCTTGTAATCACCTAGTATGGAAAAGAATCTAAAAAAAAAATACGTGCATACGTGAATCGCTTTGCTGTACACTTGAAAGCAATACAACATTGTGAATCAACTCTTCTGCTTCCATAAAAATTTAACATTTTTTCAAAGGTTAAAAAAAAAGAATGCATAAGCAATGTTGATTTTTTCCCTACTGTCCTAAGAACAATAGGAATCCACTGAGGGATTTTAAAACTAAGCGTAGGCGTGGGAGGTGGAGAGTCATGGAGGATCTGATTGAGTTTCAGAAAAGTCGCTGTTATTGTGTGAAAGATGAAATGATGTGTCTGCTAGTTGAGCTGCTGATACACCATTTAGGAGGCAATTATCACTGTCCAGAAGAGAGATGACAGGCTTATAAACAGAGATGTTTCCAGGAAATCTGGATGATTTCAACAATGAAAAAGAGTGTGAGGGGAGATAATCTGGCACCCAAAACTCAACTGCCCAATAATTTACTAATATAATACTTAACCCTGGATCCAGCGTTTTCCATCTTCGAGACCGTGGTTGGCAGCATTTAAAATGAGCCCCAGTGATCCTCGTTGACAGATATTTATTCTATGTGTAGTCATCTTCTCTTGAGTGTGGCCTGGACCCAGTGACTTAATTCTAAAAAACTGAACATGGTAGAGGTGAGGGAGTCATTTCCAAGATGGGGTTATCCAGAAAAATGTGCTTTCTCATTTGGTTCTCTTTTGCTTTCTCCTGGGTCACTCTATGTGGGGAGACCACCTGCAGTATCACAGAAAACTGCCTGCCGTGAGGGGCCGAGGGCACAGCCGCGTGAGTGAGCCGGCAGGTGGGCCTGCTGTAGTCTGGGCTGGTGAGGACTGAGGCTGAACCAGCACCTTGACTGCAGTCTTTTGGGAGACCCTGAGCCAAGAGGAGCCCAACAAAGCTGCATCAGATTCCTGACCCCAGAATCTGTGAGATAATAAGCCTTTATTCTTTTAAGCTGCTAAGGTTTGGGGTTATTTGTTACACAGCAGTCAGTGACTAACGTAGAAAGCTTGCTAGTTAAGCAACCAGTTTGCCTTTCTTATGTCACTTTCACTAATTTTTAAAAACCTCCTGATGTGCCTCTTTACACTTCTTCAATATTTTATACCTTTACACTTCTCTTACTAAATCTTTTCTTAAAAATGTTATTTTTACAGCAGTCAGTGTACAGAGAGACATAATAAAGTTGAAATGGTTTTTAAAGTTTTAATGGTTCCAAGGTTGATGAAAGAAAGTAGACATGTGAGGTGTACATAAGTTCAACTCTATGATAAAGTTAGGAGGTATTTTGCTTTGGTAAATTTTGCACTCTCAAAGAATAGGTAAGCTCACAGTACTAAATATGGTATCTTTTCTGCTTTGTTAATATTTAGTAATTTTTGGTAAAAACTATGATTATACTTATTAAGTAAAAATAATAGTCTTCAGATTTTTGATGCATTTATGTAATATAAAAGAAAGACATTTTGGTATCTCATTGATGATATTTGGATACTAGAAAAAAAAAAGAATGAACTTTGGCCATAAATAGAATATGAAATTCGCATATGTCCATGACAGTCTTGCCCCTGGATACTGCAGGGCTGCAGTCTGCAGTAATCCCCTTTGTGTCTCTACTCCTACCTCAGAATAGTTCTGAGCGGTTCCAGGAGATTTCACAAACCCCATCAAACTGTATGTACACGGCATCAACCATCTTTGCCCACTTCTCCTTTCCACTGAACTATAACTTTTCCCATTTAGCGTCACTGTTCTTTTGGCTGCATCCAGTTACACTCAGCAGGGACCGCGTCCCCTGGTGACAGAGCCGTCTCACCGGGTAACAGCATCTGCCTGCCGGTTCTGCTGCTCCAGGTACCACCACTGCCCTGGAGAGCGGCCTCCAGCTGCCTGAGCTGCCAAGATGAGAACTTGTAGAGACCTCCTTCCATCTTTCAATGTAACACTGGCAAAATGGCACCAAAGAGCCACGTTTTTTTCCAATATCACAGAAAGCTGTAATGGAGCAGTTCTTTCTGTTTATGCAGAGAATCAAGCAGAAATCCATAAATGGAACCAACAGACTTATCTACATGTCGAGCACTTGTTAAATTCAGAACTGCCCCTTGTGCTAAGATGAAGGCTTTATAATGCAGCCAAAACTAAAAGCCTCTTCTTCTTCTTCTCCTTCTCCTTCTTCTTCTTCTAAAATGAAGCTCTCTGTAAAAAAGCTTTTCAATTCTTTATACGTTGATTCCTGGGAAGGCACGGTCAGAATCACCATCACAGCAAATAAGACGCCTTCTACCCATCATCAAAGGGCGGTAACCCTCTGCTCCTTTCTCTTCTTTCTGTTGACAACAATAACAACAAGAGAAAAACAAACGTTAATAAGATTTCAAGATTTCATGGTAAAAGCACTGAATTTAAAAAAATTGGGAGATTTGCGTTTCAGCTCAGTTCTACCTTAGACCGCTTCTTTGATACAAGTCAGACTGACTATTCTTCCAGGATCTTCCAAATTATTGCCTCATCTCTATAAAATTTCTGGAATGGTTGATCTCTAAAGCCTTTTGCAAACTCTAAATCTCT